AAGGAAACCGTCATGAATCATCAGGTAAAAGCAGCAGGAAAGGAAGCACGGTTTGTAGGTTTGTTTGACCCAAAGAAGACAATCGCATACGAAATGGCAAAAAAGAAAAAGTGGTGGGAGACGGCCTCTCTCCGAACAGGAGTGTCCGAACACCCCAATGGCGAAAGCCCTCCCGGACTCGACACGCGAGTTCCGTCTCTGCCCTCTCCTCTCACCGGAACCCCACAGCCCTCCCGTGCGGGACCGAGTCGGAGAAGCCTTTCAACTTGCGGCACGACGTCCCACAGCGGCCGGGGGCCGACTCCCCGGGCCCAGCTCGAGCTCGTGCAGCTTCCCTCCCCGCCGGCCCTCGGCATCCCCGGCTCCGCTCCCGTCTACTACTGCTACTCCCCCCGCGCCTCGCCCCGGGCCCCCCCCCAGGCCCTCGAAGGCGCCCGCCCTCGGGCCGACCTCCTTCCCACGCCCGGGCCCCGGCACCTCACCCCGTCCTCCGGCGGCGGCTCGCGGGCGGGGCTCCGCCCCCCAGGCCCCCCTCGCGGTGGTCCCCGAGGGAGGGGGACCCTGGCCCCAGCCACGCCCCCCACAGATAATGGGTGACATGGCGGCCCCCGCTCGGCGGCCGGCGGCGGCCTCGCTCACCCACACGAACAGGCTGTCCGAGAGCAGGTACTGGGCCACGTCGCGGGCCCGCGGGCCCCCGGCGCTCGGGCGGACGAGCGCGGCCGACTCCGGCAGCACCGGGGCCGTTGACGACTCGGGCTCGCCGGGCCCGGGCCCGGCCTCGGGCTGGCTGAGGGCGCGGTAGGCGCTGACGATGGTGCCGAGCAGGGCCAGGCCGCTGAGGCCCGTGTAGGTGCGGAGGCTGGGCCAGGGGAAGCGCTCGAGGAAGAGCAACGGCATGGCGGCCGCCGCGGCCTCCGGAGCCCAGGCCTCCCCACGCTGCGGCCGGGCCCCTGCGGCGGCCTCGCGAACGGCGCCCACGGGCTCTGGCGTCGCTGCTGCCGCCGCCGCTGAGCCGGGCCGGGCCGGGCCGCTGCTGGCTGCTCGCGCCGCCCCGCCCCGCGCCGCTCCCGCTGCTGCCCCTGCCGGCGCGGAAGAGCCTCGGCGGGCGCGGCGCGGGCGGGACGGGCGCGGGGGCGCGGCCTCAGTCCCCCGCCCCCCGCGGTCACGCCGCCGCGCGGCCGGCCGCAGGCCTGGGGGCTTGGCCCCCAGCATGCTCCTCCGCGACACCCCAGCCCCGGCGGCCTGCGGACGCGCGGGACACCCGGCCGGGCCGGGCCGAGCCGCAGCGTCGCTCAGGCCCCGCGCCGCGTGGCCCGCCGCAAGCCGCCAGCGTCCGGCCCTTGCCCCTCCGTGCCCTTTCACCCCCCTTAAGCAGGTTCCCCCCGCGCACCCCTGCGGGTCTAGCAGCTTCCCGGGGGCCGAAAGAGGAGATGGTGCCTGGGGAATATGGGAGGCCCTGACCCCAAAGAAAGAATATCAACAGTCTGAAATTTCTGGCCAATGAATTCTTAAGTTTCTGCCGTTTACTAGTAGCCCCGAACATAGTCTAAGACGAACCTGATTTAGTGGGAAATAAAAATGCATTCCCTCATAGACCAGGTAGGAATCTAAATAGTGCAGCTACTTTGGAAAATAGTCTGTCAGTTCCTGAGTTCCACGCCTAGGAGTAGACCCCAGAGAAGTGAAAACATACCTCCCCACGAACGTGTACACAAATGTCCGTAGCAGCACTGCTCATAGTAGCCAAAGGGTGGAAACAACCCTAGTGTCCACCAAGTGATGAATCGATAAATGGGGAATATCCATACAATGGAATTTTATTTAGCCACAAAAATAGACGCTACAACGTGGTCGGACCTTCCTTGAAAACATGCTAAGTGAAAGCAGCCCCCCAAAAAGGCCACATATTGTGACTCCATTTATATGAAATGTCCAGAATAGGCAAATACGTTTATAGACACAAAGTAGATTAATGGTTGCTTAGGGATGGGGAAATGAGGGAACGGGAGGGTAAAAGCTAAATACGGAATTTTGAAGTGATGAAAACGTTCTAAAATTGTGGTGATGGTTGCACAACTCTGAACACACTAAAAGTCATTTAATTGTACACTTTAAATGGTGAGCTATATCTCAATATGTGAATTATAGCTCAATAAAGCTGTTACCAAAAAAACAGCACTACCAAAAAAGTGTTATTTCGGGGGTCTTATTCTTCCTTGTAACCCCAAGGCCTGGCCCACAGTAGGTGCTCTGTAAATTTCTGATGAATCTTACAAACTTTCAAAACAAAAAATCGTCTTCAAGATCTATTTTATACCTGATACTCTAATGCTAAAAGTCTACTAGTCAGAAAACTAAAAAAGATCTCTCAAGGTTATTAGCTTCTACTTTGGAATTTTTAGGATCCTATCAAAGGGCCTGTGAAGAAACACAACTGTTTGGCTTTTGTAGGGGGGACACACACATCTTTTATGAGGTCTGTATGAATATTAAACTTCAGTTCCCTTTGATTCTCCTCCTGCAGCCATCTGATTAAAATGCTGAACTTTGGAGCCAGCCCTCATGGCCTAGCGGTTAAAGTCCCATGCGCTCTGCTTCTGCGGCCCGGGGTTTGGTCCCTGGCGCGGAACCACACCTCTTGTCAGTAGCCATGCTGTGGCGGTGGTGCACACAGAAGAACCAGAATTTACAACTATACATAACTGTGTACTGGGCTTTTTGCGGGTAGGAGGACGACTGGCAACAGATGTTAGCTTAGGGGTGAATCTTGCCCTGCAAAAAAAGAAAAAAGCTAAACTTTCAACTTTATTGGTAAAATAAAGGAGAGCTGTATTTTGAAAAAATGAAGACAGTAATTTTCCAGGGAAGTAACTGTTCTACTACATATGAGCTCCCATAATTTTTAAACCACACTATCAGATGACCCACCTTCTGTCCAAGTCACATTAGTTACAAAATACCACACACCAACTGTGGCCCGTTACAAGAAGGGGGCTGACTGTTAGTATATCTGCCCTTATTAAGGCACAATACTCCACCATCTTGAATTCCAAGGGGCTACACTCTCCTCTAAATTGTATTGTGAAATACTACTACTTTCTAAGTGTTAAAAAAAAAAACTTGATAACCTGTTTTCTGGAATGACTTTGTAAAGCGTTTAATAGCGACTTTTTACTTTTGGTTCTGACTACGTAAAAACTATAGTCTAACTAAATTCATCCTAAACTTTTAGAAGCTTTAACTTTCTGAAGATTCAATGTGAGATTAACCCAACTATATAAGGTTTTTTTTTATTTGCATTTTAAAAGATTTCAGAGGTTTGTGTCTGGATATTTTACTAGGATAATTGGTATTTGTTCTACCAACATTTTTTTCTCTCTCATTCCAAGAAGGTAGCCAGGCTTTTGCACATCCTTCTCTCAAGGATTTTTTTTGGCAAGGATGGGACCCACCTTCTAAAGTCGACCAACGCTTCTGGCTCTTCATGGTGCATCCGACTCCATGAGAGGATCAGGGGAGGAGGCAAGACACAGAAGTGATGAATATTTAGTGTGCCCAGGAAGGCTGGACCATAAGCATAGGGACTACCAGTATCAGTTGAGTTCCAAGGCTCAAGTGTGGCAGGGAGGCAGCTGCACCAGACATTAAAGGGCTGGTTTGGCTTGGACAAGAAAGTATCTGTGGAGTCCACGACACTCTCCCTACCCCCACTTTCATTTCAGAGTACCATTTATGCCTTCTGGATTCTTGAGAGACTTTGGGTAGGTCCCCACTCCCAATGACTGAGAGACTGAAATTCCTGCCATCTTTGTGGAATGGTGGCTCTGATTTGGTTTGATTTAAAGGAAATAAATGTCATTTCAGACAAACCAGAGTTTGTATGGAGTAAGATTCACACCTAAATGCATTGCTATTTTCATTTTTTAAAATATCTGAAATCCTTTCATATTCATGACCTCATGTGATTTTCACCATCCTGTGAGAAAGGCTGAGTAGTTTTGTTAAGATTCTTAACATCCTTGGGCTGCCTGGTGGCATAGTGGTTAAGTTTGCACGCTCCACTTCCAGGATTCGCGAGTTTGATCCTGGGCAGACCTAGACACCACTCACCAAGACACGCTGTGGCGGTGCCCCACATAAAAAATAGAGGAAGACTGGCAACAGATGTGAGGTCAGGGCCAATCTTTCTCACCAAGAAAACAAAATTCTGAACATCCTAGGAACTGAACTTCATTGTCTAATCTAGTAGCCTTAAATGAACTCCCATGGAATTCTGGTGTTTCATTAGTTGGACAGTGTTCCACTACTAAATCTAGCAGAGGAGCAAAACTAACCAACTCCTCAATTTTGTAGGGGAAAAACTAAGTTAATGGGTATATTTCAATCTTTAGCTTTTCTTTCATAATTTTTCATAGTTTTTTGGTGCCTGCTATAAAATACACTAGTAAAATTTTCAGAAATTTACAATAACTTTATGAGGTTTTGTTCCACATTTGTCCAGATATAAAGACTCAAGGCTATGGTTTGACTACACATATATTCTTGTATTTTGGGTATAAACTGTTTCTATTTAAGATGCTGAAATTACACAGCATTACATAAGCAGCAAGCATGGTATCACGGAACATCATGACTGCCAAGCAAGTTTGAGGGAAAAAAAACTATAGGAGTCAACACTCTCCTTACCGATGAGAAAATGCAGTCCTCAATGATACAATACAAGAGTTAACACAATTATGTGGCTACTTCTAAATCCCGGTCTTCAGGTACCAAATCCAGTGACCTCTTCGCTTTGGAGGAAACTGAACCTGCCTTTGAATACTGCTAACACACAATGGAGAAGTGTGAGGGGAGGAGAACAACGACGTCCCAGGGTCTTCAGGACCTTGCTATTATGCCAAGCTGTCCTCTCACCAATGGCCCCTAGCCACTGACACTGAAAAAGAACCGTGCAGGATTTCTAATGGCACACTAAGGCTAGTAGCCACACACAGTCATTCTGTTTTAATTTTTTTTATTGAAATGACAATAAAATTAAAAAAACAGTGACCATTTTAATCAACTTTTACTTTACAAATATAAAAATATAACCAAAACTTCAAACACTTTCTTTTATACATTTCTATAAACTTAATGCCAGAAAAATCCTCAAAGCCAAACTATAAATGACGCTTGTACACTATGATGTGAGCACAGTAAGCAAAAGTTGAAGTTTTTAAATGCACTGATCTCTCCCTCAACAGAAAAGCATAATACATTTTCCCAATTTATCTCTAGTCTTACAATACAATCCATCACTAAAATACAAATTACAGCTAACCTGGCTTAATCTAGACTTACTTAGGTTTTAGCCTGTTTTTTCACAAAAACAACCTTGATAAATATAATACAAGCTAATATTAAAATTGTGTTTTATGGCTCAAGTCAAATTACAGCATTGTTTCTCATCACATATTTAAAGAACAAAGGCAAACTGCTTGAAGTGAGCCCAGTTTAACCCAAATAATAAGTGATGTAAAACAAGTGGAAGAATTATGGGAAATCAAACCTTATGCTACAGAAGCTGACTCGTATTACAGTGACAAACCACTAAGCCTTCTCTGGCAATGGGACATACAAAACCGCACACTCTGTGAAGCAGTCTTAGTGATGGGCACATACTGTCCCAAACACTATGAAGTAGTAAAAACATGAAGTTTGAGGAGCTCCAATGTGGAAAAGCTACTCCAAGCATCTCATCTCAAGCAACTGAACAGGTACTTACAAAATAAAGTAATAAAAGACCTGAGAGCACGAGTCACATCATTTAAGAAAGGGAATTCTAAGTTGATTGTTTGCTGGCCTGTGGAATTTGGAGGACCCCCTACCTCTCACTTCTAATTAAGCATGGAAGAAAATAGGCTGGCTAATTTGGTTGTTTTATCCAAACAAAATGCTAACTTAACAGAACCCTTAAATATCCAAAATAATAACTGAAACACGCAATGCTAGATACAAGGTAAGACAATGATAAAAAGTAAAAAATCTTCCAGATCTGTTAAAAGTACAAATTCATATAAAGACTTATAATGCCATTTTAAGTATTATCTACTTTTAAAAAAATCACAAGTCTTCATCACTTAGGAGAAAAAAAATTTCACTTTTCTTCAAAGTGATGTCAATCCTACATGTGATTTAAAACATTTGAGTAAAACTTTTTAGTTTTTTCTCTTAACCTACTGAATATTTTCTAGTACCATTTAGTAGTTTTATACAGAATATGCACTACTTGGATTACTCAGAAAAAAATAACATGGCAAATATTGTAATTATACAAAAGAGGGCTCTCATTTATAAACAAACCTGAACACAAAAGGCATTCAAAAATATGTCAGTTAATGAAGAGCTCACTTTAAAATTATTCAGTATTTATTATGTAGAGAACTGGAATGCATAATTTAAGACGGGTAGTTTTGAAAAAGTGCGCTAAGAACTTATTTATCAAAAGACCTTAGTGTCCAACAGTGCCCTTATACCCTCTTGTACTGCTAGAGGAATACATCAGATTTCAATTTCCCTAGTTCTACTATTTCCATCAGGAAACTTAAAACGAGAGTACTGAGAAACAACCATAACTAACCAGCCCAAAAACAGCTTTAGAAACTTGTATTTGTGTATTATGAATTTTATATTCAAAACCAGATCTCTTAAACTCTAAGGTTAGTAACCCAGCCAACTTAAATCAAAGGCTTTTCTCACCTAGGCCACAACATACAGATGACTGACTCAAGCACTTAGACTGGGAAGTAGTGATCAAGAAAGGATTTCTAGGTCAAAGCTTAAGTTACAAAGGACATGAGTTGCCTCAAATCAGATGACTCTTCAACTCGAACACTCCTTACTGACAGCACTTCATAAATCACACCAAGAACAAGTCCACCTATCTCCACCCTCCCCAAATGGCAAGAGCTAACACATCTGAAATGTCACTAGCTTTTCACTTGGATGCCAGAAGCAATCACGGAAGGCATGCTGGATCAAGCCATCTCCATCTCTGCCCAACCTGTAGGGCTCAACTAATCAGTGAGGTTACCAGTAAAATTAAAGTAAGTTAGAAATATGCTAAAGTAAACAGGAGGGGCAGGACTGTCAGCCCCAGAGGGAAGAGGACTATCCGCAGAACTGCTGGCTTTTTCAAAGGAGATCGCTGGTAATTTTTGGTCCTGGAGACTGGTGCTCATCTACTACTCAGCATGGGCACAGTTACAGTCACTACTTGATACACAACGTTGTGAAGGTTTGACAAGACCTCAATTAAATAAATGTGAATGTTCATAAATAGAATTGCTCAGTTGCTCTTGGTTTGATTTCCCTAAGTCTAAATAGGGAAGATTATAAAATATACCTTTCACATCAGCCAATATTCAGAATTGCTCTGTGATCCCAGTACCATGAAGATGAAAGAACTAATCAAAAGGTCATTCTGTCCGCCTATTAAGAACTTAACTATACCAATCTCCTTTAAGTAGCTGTATCTTACAAGATTTCCTTTACATTAAGCCTACAGTCAAAAGGTCATTTCTGTCTACCTATTAAGAACTATACCAATCTCCTTTCTTTAAGCAGCTGTATCTTACAAGATTTCCTTTACATTAAGCCTACAGTCAACAAGCTTGTAATAAGGCATACACAGTATACTTTGACCATTAAGCAATGACGTAGCCAGTAAACTCCTTTGCTCTAAGATTCCTTTTTTATTCCTCCAAATTTGATACTATTTAGCAGTGTTTTAAAAAGCTTTTGGAATTTGGTATTTTTCTCTTAGGTGATAAAATCTATCCCCTACCCTGTCCTTAGCTTTCAGTTGATTAAGATTATTCCAAAATATTTTTGAAAAGCTTTGTGTTGCTTGCTAAAATCAAATTTTCACCTCTGTGGATATAATTTCAAGTCAACTGAAATAACTAATTTTGCAATCCAAGAGTTCAAAATCTAGCAGACCCACTTTCAGAAACTTCCTTTACAGATTACCATTTTACCACGGTCCTAAGAATAACTAAGACACAATGTCATAACAGCAGAAATAATTAATACTTCCATTATGCGAAGAAAAAAAACTCTAAATGAGCTCTGGATCAGTCTCATTTTATACCAAGTCCCATGACTTTCCCTGTCCTAGCCAATTTTAGTGGTTTCCCACATGTTTAAGGTTCACTGCTTGTAGTCTGGCTGTACTAGTATAAAATGTACCAGTCAATAACATACTGGGAGTTCTGCTGTAATATAACTCACTAGAGGGTAAAATTTGGTATAGGAATTGCACCGTGGACTCAATCAAGCAAATTCTAGTTCCCAAAAGTAACAGAAGATCCTCATCACAAAGATTTATAACATGGTCTTGGAGTGTACCTGCAAGAATGGTGTTGGAGCAAGGGTCTCATAAAATTGACTGACCTAAACCTGCCATTATCTCTTAACATTCATCAGCCGGCGGGTAGGGGGCATGAACGATCCTTACTTTAAGATTTTACAAGTTTAATGTGAAATTAAAAAAAAAATACAAATAGAAAGAAGTCCACTTTCTTTAATGTACAAAAAAGTGTGAGAACCAAAAGTAAACATTATCATATTTGTTTACACCATTATCTAGTTCTTCATATTACCTTTACTATTCCAACAATAGAAAGTAGGTGGCAATTTAGGGAATGGGAAAGAAAGAAAACCAAAAACAACTTTTCTACCATGTTTATTTTACACTGTGTGTAGCTGTGCTCACAGAGACGGCTTCTTTCAATTCACTGCGCAGGAATTCAGTTGTATATAAAATTGAATCTGAATTTTCAAAAGAACAATAGCTTTATTAGAAACAGGATTATTTACATAGTTTCTAACTTAGACAATAAAGAAATTTATTTGGACATTTTTGGCTTCCCCCGCCACCAGACATTTCTGGCACTTTCTACACCTAGACACATTTTTCTCTCACCTGTCATATCTCACACATTAAATAACATTGTTGTTGAATACTTACAATAATAAAAAAAATTTAAGAGGGTAAATTTGATTAATTATCCACTAACAAGTTCCTTGAGGGAAGGAAAAGTTGTTACACCTCATTGTATTCTGACCACACGACACAGTTCCTGAACCCAATAGGTGCTGTCTAAATAAATGAATAATATGGCTCTTTTTTTCATATCCCATACTTCAACTAGTAACCCATCAGCAGACTAACACAGAGAAACAAAAGATGAAGTTTGATCAGTGTCACAAAATTGAAAGACCCATTTCATACTCAACAAGCTTTCATAGAAGGTCAAAATCACTACCGGAATTGTTTTTAAATTCACATTTATTAAGCACTTACCTGGTGTCTGGCACTATTCTAAGCACTTTACATGTGTTTTTTCACTTGGTCCTCACAATTCTATGAAGCAGAGACAGCCATCCCCATTTACAGATGAAGAAAGAAGCAAACAGGTATAATCTTTTATCCGAGGTCACACTGCCAGGAAGTACTGAAGGTGGAATTCAAACCCAAACACTGGCCGCAGAATCTATCTTAACCACTATGTGATTCTGCGATTCCTATCTATGGTTGGCTCCAAGGACCTCACCCAGTACAAGTCAACTATTTTAAAAAAAATGCATAGCTCATCACTCTAACCTGCCTAGAAAAAATATATCCAACTCCATGCAAGAATTCAAGACTTAATCCCACATGTTCCAATTTGGGCCTAAGTACAGTAGGTTCCAAAAAGAAAAGAGAATATATTACACCAAGAGATTAAATCTTCATATTTTTATATAGACAACTCGCTTCATATTTATTATTCATTGCTGACTGCGATTTTACCAACTCTTCTTTGAATGAAGATTTCAAACTTTACCAGAGAATTTCAGATTTGGGGAAGAGCAGTTACACAAATACCAGAATGTGATGCTGCAACTTAGGGTCTGGGGACACTTTTAGTCAGTCATAATTAATCTATGGCTTGTACGTGACCTAAGGGTCCATCTACTGTCTTAAGTTTCCTGAAAGATCAAAATTCATGAACTACTCCTTCCCAGTGGTTCAGAGCATTTTAAATCTGGCATTTCAGATGAATCAATCACAAAATGTTCAACTTTACATACCTGCTCAAAAGCTGAGGGAGACTAGAAATGATGGGTCCATATCCTGGTGCATTGTCATACAATTCAAACAATGGTGCAGCTACCAGCTTGTAATTTTTAGGGACTGCAAACAAGGCTAAAATAAAATAAAACAGTATATTCATTTTCTATAATTTCTCATGTAATCACTGCTTCTACTTCATTTGTAAAGTCATCACCAATTTTACATTCAAGAAACTTTTGAGGAAAAAAATAATTCTCTTGAATACATTTTGGATGTGTCTTTTAAGCAAAGTTTATAGTGAGAGCTTTGAAACTGACTGACTCTCTAAAGAGATCCATGGTATCAACAACCAAGAGTACCTTGTAAGTCCTGGCCCTGGGAGAAAAGGGAGAAGAAAAGTCTCTTGGGTTTGTAATTTACTTTGCATCCCATTTTAAGAGTATCATAAGAAATGGAATAATTACTTGTTAAAATGCACAACAGGCCTAAAAGATGGTATTAAAAAAATAACAATTCATCTGTCTCCTAAAATTTTCAGTTTATCACAATGTGAAAATCAATACCAGCAGCTAATCAGTTACTAACAATATCTTAATCCAGTATTTTAGGTTCCTGTTAAACTTAACTTTTCCCCCAATAGCATGACTTGCACATCTACGAAAAAAACTAGCTAATTCTATACAAACATGGTATGTGTTTTTAGCTTTCGAATAAATCCAAAAATTCAAGGATCCTAGAGAAAACACAAATAGAGGTATCCTTGAAATTACTCTACAGAAATTTTTAGATGGCTGCCTTCAAAAACAAAGTAACTTACCTTTCTCTTGAAGTTGGACCAAAAACAACTTCTTATGCTCCTTAGGTTTTGTAATATGTGCAGGAATATATGGATACTAAAATAACAAGAGAATAATTTGTAGTTGCCAAGACACCTCTCATACTTCCACACCGCTATTTATCAATTTCTCCCATTTCAGATGTTAAGCTCAAATAGCAACCCTCTGAGACCAAGCTCCTCATAACCCAACAAAATTTTATTTTAACACGTATCCCACAGCTTCATTTATTTCTTTACATGTTTATTCCCCAATCGAGTGTAATCTGCTGGGAGAAACAGAATCATTTGCAGTCTTCCCTTTACCAGGATCTAGTACCTAACGGATGCACCAATAAATAAATGCTTTAATATAAGTAGTAAACCATTCAAGACAAATATGTAATTACAGGATTTACAGCTTGAGAAATTTACAACACAATGAAGTCTGATATTAATCTTTTATAAAAGTTTTTAAAAAAATAATATCATTACCAATTTAGATTTTCTAGAATCCTGAGGTGGACATGTTTACTATATTAAAAGTATAAGCATAGCCTGTGAGGTATTTGACAAGAAGCCCCTCCCCCTAAACCCACACACACATCCCGCCTGCCAAGACACATGCTTCAGGAACACCACATGAGCAGTTTAATTGGAGTTCTGTCAGCAGGGCAGAGAAAGACTGCTTGAGAAAATATTTTGGAGAATTTAAAGGGATGAAGAGAATTAGAGAGGAGAGGTTGCTACGTCTTTTTGTAAAAAGTGCAATTGGCTTAAAATAAACACCAAGATGAGGACTAGAAAAGGCAGGCTTAAAGAAAAGGAACATATAACCTCAAGATTTCTTTTTGTTCTACTCCGTGTATGTGATGAAAACCTTTCCTACATCTCCCCACAATATATTCGGAAAATCAACTTTTGCTTTTGGAGTTGTATTGAGGGCACGGGAATTAAAAAGTACTGAAAATAGACAAAGAGGGAGAGTAGGATGAAAACAGAGGCTACCAAAAGAAGGCATTATCACCCCCACCTTACGAAAAGAACTTATGCTGAGAGGCTAAGCATCTTTCCCAAGATGACATAGCTAAGCAGTGATGCCAGGATTCAACTCTCATCTAACTATAACAGCCTATGTTATTTCCCACTGTGCCATCCCACTGGTACCTAACCATTATTCAAGTTAGAATAATTATATACCAGAGCCATCCCTAGGGTATAATGAACCAAGACGACAGTCTCAGGCTTTGGAAGTTAGCTTGAATAGCACAGGCTAAAAGAGACCTGCGGTTCACATACAACAAAAGTTCCCAAACCATGACCAGACCAAAGTGATTGGCATTACCCCAATTTTCTTTACTATATGTTCCTTCTCTTTTAAGCCTTTCTTCTCCAGTTCTCCTCTTGGTGTTTATGTTAGGTCAATTGCACTTTTTACAAAAAGATGGAGCTAGGGAGATGGTCTTATGCTCTTTTCCCACTGATTCCAAGTTTACTAAACCAACACACATCCCTTACGTTCTATCTTAAACTAGTAGAGCCAATACTAGGGTTCAGTGAATTCAGGGAACTGCCCTAGGACTGTGGTAGGGTAGATGAATGAGAGTATTCAGAAAGCAGCCTGGAAAACTTTGGGGTTATTACTGAGCATTTTTCAGTTAGATCAAGGAATGTTCAAGAAACTAAAATAAGTTTACAGTAACTGTTCTATGTATCTTTGGATAAGGAACTTCACATTTGATGAAACTACTTTCTTAAAACCAAGACAATTCTCAGGTAGTGAGCACTAGCACCAACTTCCAAAGCACCTTATCTTCCCACCCCTCAGCCATATGAGGGAGTGAGAAGGAAGAGGACAGAACAATCTTTAGCCTGGCTGATATTTTGTGAAATTCTTAACCTGGAACATCTTCTCATGCAAAGAAGCCATCAAAATCATAGAGCCTTGTCAAAAGAATTTGGGATCCAACTTCAAGAGGCTCCCATTAGCCAAAAATAGGAAAATTTGCACATCAGTAACATTATCAGTCATTACAACAGTTTAAAACAGATCAAATGTATTGAAATACATGAGGTCAAATGACACTTTAAAAGGTCACTGAAACAAATGCTTTTTGTGCCTCTCATCATAGTTTCTCATCCCACCTCAGACCTCACGGCAGCTGTGTAAGAAAGTGTCAGAAAGCTCCCTGCTTGCTCCCACTGTCTCACTCTCTTGCTTTTCAGCCTCAAAGCATTTCCAAAGCCCTGGGAAGTCTCTCAACCAGTGCTCAGACTCAACATAAAAGAACAAGGGAGTTACTATAACCCTCTTGTAACAAGGGCTAGGAGTCCCCAGCCTTCCATCCTTCTGATGGACAATTCTGAGCTGCATTCCACCTGGTTGCTCACAGTCCTTAGCAGGATCAATTCAGTTGCCCACAGCTGTCATAAGATCAATTACGTACCCTTTTTGGACTGCTGCTGCTTCATCTCTCCCTTTCCTTGTACTCTGCTGCTTCCTGGGATCACCTCTCAAACAAACATCTGCACTCAAGTCTCTGTCTTACTCTCTTTTGAAAAAAGTTAAGTCTTTGGAGAATGCTAAGGAATTAACTCATTCTTCTGAAAACTGGTAAGTAGCGGAAAAGCAGCACGTATTCTTTCCTACACAACTACAGCACAGGGTAACCAAATAGCTGATGAGGGAAGTTTCTCTTTATATAAGGATCACAATCCTACAGAAGTAATAGATCCAGGAAAACTATTACCAATGAGCTGATAACATTACAAAAAGAAGCAACGAGATATTATAAAATTCCGGATAGAAGCACACAATACCACCTGTGCTGGCCAGCCTCCAAGATGACCCCCAATGGTCCCTGTCTCCTGGTATCCATACCTGTGTAGTCCCCTCCCACGAGGTACTATGTTGGTTTGTGTGACCAGCAGCACACAGCAGAAGTGATGGTATGTCACTGCCAAGATTAGGTTATAACGACCGTAGCTTCCTACTTGGGTACTCTCTGGCACTCTATCTCTTGGATCACAATTCTGAGGGAAGCCAGCTGTCTTACAGGGAGTTACCCTACGGAGAGGCTGTCATGGCAACTGAGGGAGGCCTTGTGTCATCAGGTGACAAGGAACTGAAGCCTTCAGTCCAACAGCCCAGGAGGAACTGAGCGGTCTGCTAACAAACACATGTGTGAGCTTGTGATCCTTTAGCTTCAGCCCAGCTTTGAGATGATGCAATCCCAGCTGACAACCTGACCAGGACTTCATGAGAGAACATGAACCAGAACCACCCAGCTAATCAGCTCCCAGACGCCTGACCCTAAGAAACTAAGATAATAAATCTCTGTTGTTTATGCTCCTAAGTTTTGGGATAATATATTTTGTGGCAAGAGACAGATAATATAATACCTATGACAAGCCTTGTACCTCCCTCTCCCCAAAACTGAGCCCAAATCCAATCTATCGATCTAACTACTAATTTACAGGACATAGAGGAAAAAGAGCTACATGTTCGATGACAACACGAGGACACAATCAGCAGTGGAAACACTAAGGACTTTAAGTAGCCTATTTTCATTAACAAATAAATTACAATGAAAAAAAAGAAAGAAAAGGAACGAATATGTAGATACCAAAGAAACTATCCTAATTTGAACAAATTATAAGAATAAAATTTGCAACTATCAGGGATATGTGAACAGTGAGTACATATTTTTAATGATACGATGGAATTGTTTCTTATTTTTAGTATGATAGTACTGAGGTTATGCTTTTTAAAAGATCCTTATCTTTCAGAGATGCACACTGAAATATTTACGATTGAAACTATATCTAGGATTTGCTTCAAAATAAACTTAAGGTGAGGGCGGGGAGAATGGGGCGATGGGGAAAGGAGCTTGATGAAGTTTGGTCATGAGTTGCTAACTGATGAAGGTGGATCACAAGTAATGGGATTCATTTACTTTTACTAATCTCTCTTTTTGTATGTTTGAAATTTTCCTTTAAAAGAAAAAATGCTTGGCTTTTTAATTTTTTATCTAAACTGAGGAAGAAAAAATTTCAAGGCAAATTCTACTATGATCTTTTTATTATTTTTTTTTTAAGATTGGCACATGAGCTAACAACTGTTGCCAATCTTTTTTTCTTTTTTCTTTCTGCTTTATCTCCCCAACCCCTCCCTGTACACAGTTGTATATCTTAGTTGCAGGTCCTTCTAGTTGTGGGATGTGGGACGCCACCTCAATGTGGCCTGACGAGCGGTGCCATGTCCGCACCCAGGATCCGAACCCTGGGCCGCCGCAGCAGAGCGCATGAACTTACCACTCAGCCACGGAGCCGGCCCCCTATGATCTTTTTAAATGGGTGGAATTAAAATCAGTTTCCTACTTCCCCCAATGCCCAGCAAATATAACTGAACACTGACCTGAGGAGGTTCAAAATTTGGTCTCCACCAGTTACCAATGCAGTCATCAATGACCCAGTCTTGCAGGACTCCATCTTGACGACCCAGTATCTATCAAGAAGAAATGAGAGAAGCAGTAAACAACTAAACATACATACCCTTGAACACCCTTCTTCAGTGAAGAGAATACTTTTGGCAGCACTCCTGAGAGAGACATGGCTAACATGCCTTCCATATGGATTGCCTTTCTATAATTTCTTGTCATTATCTGTGTCACTCTGCCCAAGATACACACTATTAGTTCAAAATTAGGAATCTAGAATCAACATAACCACAGACAACCAATAAGTCTGTTGTTAGGTCCTGGTTATACATGGAAAACCAAAGGTGATCAATTACCAACATCAGCCAATGGCATGCAGTAGTTTTTCTAGAATCAATTACAGCTTCTGTAAATCCCCCACCTAACCAAGTTACAGCAATACGTGTGCAAAATTCACAACTTTCCTTTTTATGAATCTGTATAGCATACCATTAAACTTAGGTTATTTTAATCAAAGCTATACTCTACACATTTTAATTGGTCAAAAATGGTTCTATAAGGTTCATGAGAAAGGGCAGTTCCCTGTTCTACTCCATCCATTCCCACAGGCTATAACTTTCAACTCTTAGCTGTTTCTTCCCCTTGTAAATAAACTGTTTAGTTTTAGATTTACAGAAAGGCTGCAAAGATGGTACAGACTTCCCATATATGCCATATCCAGTTTCCCTTGTTATTAATATCCTACATTACTGTAGCACATCTGTCAGAACTAGTGGACTAGTGAATACTGATACCTTGTTATTAACTGAAGTCCAAACTTTATTCAGATATCCTTAGTTTTTACCTACTGTCCTTTCTCAGTTCCAGGATCTCACACTATATTTAGTTCTCATTTCTCTTAGGCTTCTCTAGACTGTGATCGTTTCTTCAGACTTTCCTTGTTTTTGCTGATCTTGACAGTTTTGAAGGGTACTGGTTAGGCATTTTGCAGGATGTCCCTCAATTAGACTGGAGTTATGCATTTGGGGGGCTTGTTTAGGAAGGAAGATCATAGAGGTAAAGTGCCTATCTCATCACATCATTTCAAGGGTACATTGTATCAACATGACTTATCACTGATGCTAATCTTGATCACCTAGCTCAAGTAGTGTTTGTCAGGTTTCTCCACTGTAAAGTTACATTTTTTAACACATTTTTTTCCAATCATTTCTTGACTACCTTTCATTTTTAAAAACCTAAAAAAACAGATTAACACCCTCTACTGTGGATGGGAATTTAGATCTCAAAATCACATCCCACATTCATATTTTCTCTTCCACCATCCTCCCATTATCAATATTTAAGTCAATATTCAGTATTTAAATTAATATGACTAGGTGAATCAGACATAACAGTATTTAGTAAATATAGTTTCCTTACTTGTGCAGCTATCCTTTTCTTTTTAGTTGTTAACTGTTTCATTTCATTTACTATCACTAATTCACGCCCACAACAGCTGAAATTTCTTCTCAATTCAAATATCAACTATTCTGTCAATTTCATATTTTCCTAAGAGACATTCTTCTATCATCCTACTCCAATCTGTGGATGTTCTCTGCCCTACTTCACAGTTGGAGTCCTCAGGCTTCCCTCTGCCTCTCGCCTATGTTGTTAGATCCCCTCTATGTTCTGAATCCTGTATCTTCTGTCTTAGTCTATTCCTTCATTTTGGTGGCGAACACTCTGCAGGTACTTTCTGAGGAAAGGTACAAGAGTTACCACATTTTTGGAAACTCTGTATGTCTGGAAATAACTTTACCTGAACACGTGATTTACAGTTTGATAAGACAGAAAATTCTAGACTAGAAGTCATGTGCTCTCAGATTTATGAAGGCATGTTCCAGGATCTTTTAGCTTCCAGTATTATTTCTGGAAAGTCGACACGATTTCTGATTTTGATGATTTGTATTTAACCCACGTCTCGCGTCCTCACTCCTCAACTCTGGAAGCTTTTAGGATATCCTCTTTATCCTTACTGATTTAAAATTTCATAATCATGCGCCTTTGCATGGATCTTTTAACCTTCATTATACAGGGCAGACCAGGAGGTCTTTTTAATCTGAAAGCTTACACTCTTTGAGTTTGGGAATTTCTTCAACTATTGCTTTGCTAATCCTTCCTTTTCCTCTGTTCTACTTATCTCTAGTTTATACTGGTCCTTCTCCAATGACCCACTGATTTTATCTTTTCTCACCTATGTTCTCTTTTCATCCTACTTCCTGGTAGATTTCCTCAACTCAATCTTTTAACTCTACTGAATTTTTCATTCTGCTAACATTTTTTTAATACTCATGAGTTCTTTTTTTTGGCTGAACAGTCTTTTCTAGTGGCACACTGTTCCATAGATGCAGTATCTCCTTTTATCACACTAAGAATATTAATCATAACTTTGTGAATCAATGAATTTTCTGTTTCTGTTGAGTTCTCCTGCTTCTTTTGATCTCTTTCTTGTTAAGAAGCTTTCTCCAAAAACCTGCTGATACTTGGTTATTTGCTCACAATCAGGGGTAAAGCAATAAGATTCTTAATTGTCACTTCTGTGTGCATTAGTGATAGGGTTACACTTTTTCTTTGGGAAGATTCCCAAGTATCATCATCTGGAGTTTTTTTTTCCCCAGACTAGTCACTTTCTCCTGAAACAAAACCTCCAACCTTCAACCTGGGGTACGCAAACCTAGTTGTCAACACTCTCTCGGCCTAGTAAGGTTAAGTCTAGAAGCCTCACTATTTGGGATGTAAACCTTCACTTGTTATCCCCATCTTCTCAACTTTTACAGTGCTTTGCATTTTCTGATTCCATTTCTACAGAGGAGTTGCCAGTCAGTAGTGGGGAAGATATCTAGGAATATAAATACATTCTATATGGACTGTCAATCAATCTAGTTTTCAGTCCACACATGCCTGCACTTTCACAGGCACCAGGCACCTCCAATTCCTCAGCCTTTCTGGTGTTCTGCAGTGCTGGGTCCTGGACTGCCCTCCTGCTGGGCTGAGGTTTCTGCTAAGGCAGTTATGATTTGCCCATCTGCCTTCCAGCTTCTAAAATTTTCTTCTTGCCGTTGTCTCATTTTGCACTCCCTCAATCCTACTGAATTTGTTAGCTTTTTAAAACCCCTTTATTGCCTTTTTTGTGGAATTTTGAGAAGGAGCTGAGGTAAGCAGATACGTTTAACCTACTATAAGTAAACGGAAGTCTAAGCACAGCATGATATTTAAGAGTTATAATGCATTTACAAAAATACTAGGAAGACAAACCAATAGGTCAAAGTGGTACAATTAAAGGTGAGTTTAGCCTTGTTTCTCCTACTTTTCTGTATTTGCCAAGGTTTTTGCATAGAACATGTATTAGTTTTGTAATTGAAGAGGAGAAGGAAAATTGCAAGCTAAAAAAGAAAAATGTTTAATAATGAAAACAACTACAATCCCCAAAACTTCCAGCATCTATGCATTCAGCCTCAAGTCTTAAGAGACAGACTTAGAATGACTTTTAACAAGCAACATAATTTGGACAAAGCCTAAAAGATATGTGCAAAAAATGAAATTAGGTGTGTAACAGGAATCATTCTCTTGTCAAAATTCTATAGACGCCTACTCTGGAACAAAACTACCTGCATCAAATCTCCAGCTTCCCAACATACTAGCTGTGTAACAGCAGGCAAGTTACTTGAACCCTCTGTGCCCAGTTTCCTTATCAGTAAATGGGATTAATAATAGAACCTACACTTCCTAGGGCTGTTGTGATGATTAAAGGAGTAACTGCACGTAAAGCCTTTAGAACAGTGCCTAGCATAGTAAGTACTCAATAAATGCTGGCTTTCATTAGTCATTATTGTTATGTGAACATTTTAATGAAAAAAAAAAAGTAAGTATAAGTTCAAGTTGTAGAAAATAAACCATGGTGCTAACACTCTAGGGTTTAAATTTTATTTACTGACAACTAAATATTCAAAATAAACATCCTTTTTACAAGATATAAAAAGCCTAATTATCCATTAGGTTGACAGTATTCAGAAGGGCAATACTAACACTGCCAAAGTGGTTAAACAGAAAAATACCTCTGTCATTAAGCGTTTTAGTCCTTCAACTTCATCTTCTCCTGGGTTAAGTTCACCACCAGGTCTGTATAAAGGTTAAGAATTTCAGCTTTCAACTTAATACAATTTGGGGATAACAGGAAGAACACAATTATAGTTATTTCTATCAAGTAACTGAATAACACATCAGGGTCACATAAGGCAATCAAAGCAAACATCAAACGGAGGGAGAAGATTGTGCCAGAAAGTTGAATTCATGTTAAATCACTAGACTAACACAAATCTTAGTTTTAAACAAACAAACAAAATATATACCATAACATAAACATCACATAATTGCTGGCCACCAGCCAATCTCAATCTCTTTTCTTTGAAAGCTAACTGGTGATAAGAGTCTAGAAATACCCAGAGAGCAATGGATCACATTCTTTAGGTCTGAAGAATGGGATATTTTTTAAGAACTCCAATCTAAATACTTGAGACTTCTCTTTTGGTACAATCTGGTCAAACTGTTGTGGACTAAATGTATACTGAGAAATTTATTTATGAGCTTAAATGATAAAACTAAATAATTATCTATAAAAATGTATGCCATTTGAAGAAAAGGAAGCATTATCCATCCTAAGAAAGAAATGTCATCAATTGTTCTTAGTAATACTACAATGACAGAGAAATTAAACCTGGACTAATTTCTTTCCCAGGGCTTCTATCAAACTCAGTCATTAACATCAACAATATAAAGAAACATGCAGATTTCTAGTCAGGCAATAAATGAGCACTGGCCTAGAAAAAATTACTCGTGATTTTCTCTTTCTAAAGACTTCACTAACAGTTTGTTGAGATAAATGACTAAGGGCTAAAACTGTATTCGAAAGCAACATAAAACAGCAATCTTATTAAAAGTTGTCTTGCTGTTCCTTTCCAATGACACTTACAATTTGAAGAAAGTTGTTCCAAGCTGCAGCAGTAGCACGTGGGGCAGCCGGTGCTCATGGACAATCAGAACCCCTTCTACAGTCCTCCTCATGCCAATTTTATCAAATTCCTCCCTCATGCGCTGAAATCTGGCTGCAACAGAGCTGTCCTTCTCATAGAGGGGCTCCTTTGTACCAAAAGTATAATTGGTAAGAGGGTACCTGTGATCCAAAGACAAACATCAAACATGAGAACTGAAGACCATAATTTACAATGACAGATACCAACCATATATAAAGAAACCATGGTAAAAAGTGTATATATGATACTCAGAGTCATAGGATTCGCCCAAAGTTACACAACTAGTTAACGAGACAGCAGAATTAGAATCCAGCTCTTTGGACTCTAAGGCCAGAGCTTCCATTAGATCAAACTGCTACTCCACACTTGAACTTCAAGTCTAGATAACACTATCCTTAAGGCTCTTAAATGTTTGAGAAGTGGTTATCTGGGTATCTGATAATTCTTTGCTTTTAGATCATGGCCACTATACTAACACTGCCAACCTGGCTAATGTCCCCCTGGGTTCCTCTGACTACCAATCTACTCAGAAATTCTATTAATTATGGGCGCTAGTGGCTAATCTCTTTCTATAAGCTGAGCCATCACTTTTCATCATCTCTCCAGCTATTTTCTATTTCTCCCAGTCAACTCTCCTCAGACTTTTCTGGTACCACAACCCTTTCCTTTTCAGATTAACTTTTCTTTCACCTTTAAATCTGTTTTAGCCTTCTGCCTTTATTCTATTCAGTATCCTTATTCTTCCTTTCTTTTCATTCAAATCTTCTGCCCACCATATCTAATCTGAATATTCTCACCTTTATCAAGAATTCAAAATGTGGCTCATATTGTTGAAGATACTTATCTTACCTAATAAAAATGAAATTTTTCCTTAAAGATAGTTAAAAATACAATATTTCTATTTTATCACATGTACCACTTTGTAACTCCTCTGTCTTAAGCCTTACAGTAAGAAGCCTGATTATAAGCTTTTGAGTAAGAAGAATGTTTTGGCCACACTTGCCTACCCCCAAGGTATGTATCCTATCAAAATGCCTTGACATAAAAAGTCAACAACTACACAACTAATCCACTCAGCTATTCTTTTTTTTAAAAGAGATTGACCCTGAGCTAACATCTGTTGCCAATCATCCTCTCTTTTTTTTTTACTCTTCAAAGCCCCAGTACGTAGTTGTATATTCTATTTGTAGGTCCTTCTAGTTCTTCCATGTGAGCCACAGCCATAACATGGCTACTAACAGATGAGTGGTGTGGTTCCACGCCTGGGAACCAAACTTGGGCAGCTGAAGCAGAGCATGCTGAACTTTAACCACTAGGCCACGAGGGCTGACTCTCGACTGAGCTATTCTTGAAAGGGGAACAAATCAAGGTTGCCAAAACTTAAAAAATTACTTTAATGGCAGAAGCCAAATTCTACACATAAATGAAGCAGCTCTAAAATAACTAAAATATACCATATTTCTAGGGTGCTTTAAAGATTTTTAGAAAGAACTTTCCCAGTAGACCCAATGCTGAATCTAAGATTGTCATTAGCAGCAACAATCTCACACAGCACTACGGGCCAGGCAACTTTTTTTTTAAATGCTTTATATATATTAACATTGAGTTCTTACAACCTGAGTTCCAAAAAATTAAGGCTGGCTATAACACACCTCTACCGCAAGAGCCAGCTCTCACATCAATAGGAGATGCCGTCAAGAGGAAACGTAAGAATTTTCACCTGTGCAATCAGACTGACAGCCCAGACACATGCATATAATTTCCATCATCCTATGAGCTTTGTAAAGCAGGGACTACAGTTTATTTTTTATTTCCTCACTACTGTATACCAAGCATTATGCCCAGGGCCTGGTACAAAGTAGGCACGCATGCAGTGTTTCCTATAATAAAATATATTGGGGGAGAGAGGACTTGTTTTCAATTTAGATCATTACTCACCCAGGTGAACTGAGTTCACAACACAATGATTATTTCTGAATGCTGCATTTATACAGGAGGAAAACTACTGTAAATCCATCAACTCATAACTTTAATGAAGCAAAGATTAAAACACTTTCACCAAGTTAATTCTACATAATGGCTTAACGCAAATTGATCCAGTAAGGAAGGGAAAACTAGGTGAGTCCTAGTTCTAATTACCACTGAAATTACTCCAGAAGCTGTGCTTTCATCTTTTTTAAAAGAACATTTGCCTTTTTTCATTCCATGGAAATCTTACAAGGATTTTTAAAAGAAGAGATATGAAATTATGTTAACAGCTACAGAGATATTAACTTGTATACACAAAACCATCTCCTAATTCCAGATTTCATAAACCTAACGTTTTTATTATCTAAACTTCCAAGCCAGCACCTGTTTTGCCACATAAAACAATAACAACCACATTTTCTATTTCAAATCGCTTTTGAGGGGGAAAAGTTCATTTACTCGACTATAAAACAAAGAAACACCTAGAGTGTCTTATCGAAACACCAGTATTAGTAAATCTTTGCACATTTTAAACGATGACCAGCATTAACTGGCCACGTTCCTCCTTTTGGATCAGCACCACGGTGCCTCAAGAACTCTCAGAAAGAATAAAAAAGCATACTGACAATTTCCTGAGCAAGACAAAGTCCAAATGCCAATTACCTGCCACAGCGAGGTTACTTCTGAGAGTGACCTCGAAATGCAATGGCTTGAAGTACTTAAACAGAAGGTGTTGACAATAAACCAAGCCCTCAATGGGTTCCCTGGGGCTACATTCTGGACGCCTCCATGGTCAGGAAGTGCAACCACAACAGTACCCGCCCTCCCACGCGGGGGTCTACTGGGTGCCTGGAGGCTGTCGCTGCAGCAGAGAAGACACCTGAATGCCTAGGGCAGGCCAGAGAGCCCTGGGCAGACGAATAAAATGTGGTGCATTCATGAGCTGAAATGCAATATAGCAATTAACAGGAAAATACTAAATCTACGCTGTACAGCTAGGTCTCGAAAGCTTACTGTTAGGAAAAAGTGAAAACTGCAAAAATGATACTGCGTTATACCATTCATAGCAAATAAAAACACAAAACGATACCGCATACGGGATGCGAAAGCGTAAACAATGGACCGGAAGGATAAACCCCACGTTTTGCGGTTGGTATCTCTGGAGAGATGGGGAAAGGACGACTTCAAAGCAAACTGGGTTTCCTATAATGACTGAATAGAGGAGCATAGAAAAAAGTCTTTTCGGGAAGAGGAAAACCCTCTCGAATAGGACTGCAACCCCTTGGCGCTGGAGGACAAGGAAGCGGCCTCAGGGAGCCGGGGAGGCGCGCGCCGGCGAGCGGGAGCGGGGCGGAGGGGCGGCGGGAGCCCGCCGAGGCCGGGGGCGCGCCGAAGGAGAAAACTGGAGCCTTGCGGAGCGCTCACGAGGACCGGGACGCCGGCGAAGGCAGCGGCGAGGCCAGGCCGCACTTACAGGTTGATGGTGCGCTCCAGCGTGAGGGGCTTGGTCTGCTGGATGTACTTGTTGCCGAACTGGTTGACCCCCCGGGGCCAGCCGGTCTGCGAGCGATTGGGCGGCACCACGGACATGTTGGCGAGCTCGGGCACTGGCGGCGAGCAGAAAGGGGGAAGGCAGGGAGACTTTCCCTGTGCCTGCGGCCGTTACCTACGTCCCACTTAGCAGCCGCCGCCCGCCATTAACAGGAGAGCGCAAGAAGGGGCGTACGCACGCCGGAAGTGCATCCAGAGCCTCTGGCGGCAGGAAGTAGGGAGGCGGTGACCTGTTAGGCCGAGCACCATTGAGCCAATCAAAGGGAAGATGGCCGCAATATCTGGAGCTCCCATTGGTAAATCCGGCAAGGCTTCCGCCCCCTCTTACTTTGGTCCTTCCTATTGGGTGACGCCGGGGAACGTGGGAAAGGAGGCATCCTGGGAATTGTAGTCTCCATAGGGAAATAGTTGCTTGCTCGGTGTCGGGTGGGGAGAGGGTCTGTAACTCGGGAGGAGATGAATGGGAAACGGCCTGCTGAGCCCGGCCCGGGCCGGAAAGGGAAAAAGGGAAAGAAGGAGGTGATGGCGGAGTTTTCGGACGCCGTCACGGAGGAAGCCTTAAAAAAGCAGGTGGCTGAGGCCTGGAGCCGCAGGACGCCGTTCCGTCACGGTAACCGAGGGCTGTGAAGGGGGAGCCGCCGCGCGGGGTTAGGGGCCTCTGAAGAAGTCCTGGTACTCGAGCCGGTCCCTGAGCGGCTGGGCCACAAGGGAAGAGGCTCTCGGAGAGGGCGTGACTTTGGCCACCTCTGACCCTCCTGCCTGGCCTGCTGCCCGCTTCCATTCCAGGTTCAGTTTGGATTTAGAAACCTGAGAAGGGAAGACCTGTAGGCCGGAGAGTTTCGGGAAGTAGAGGGCATGCAAATTCGCAGTGGAATTCTGGAATTAGAGATAATTGAGTTAGAATCCTCTCCACCGTCTGTGCGTCGTTGGGCAATGGATTTAACTTTTTTAAACTTCAGTTCCTTCCTACGTAAAAGATGTTAAATGAGATTCGTAAGCGAATGCATGTAACCATCAATAAATGTTTCCCTGAGTAAGGACCAGTAAGCCTTTGGACACGTATTTGAGTGGCTTATGCGATTTCTCCTCGGAGGGTAGAGCTCACTTGTCCCGGGATGGTGTAGCCAGAGCATGTTGTGAGCTGCCAGATAGCACGCCCCTGAGCTTACTCGTTTGATGGCACGCCCCTGAGCTTACTCGTTTGATGGCACGCACCTGAGCTTACTCGTTTTTACGCGCCTGTAGTTCGACTACATGACCCGTGAAAGCAAATGTGTGTTGGCTAAGGGAGGGAACCTGCATTGAACGATTCCATCCTCGGCTTCAAATATCACCTCATGGACTCTGCTTCATGCATCACACTTTCCCTTCTAAAGTTTGCCATCATTTTTGTTTCAGTGGTTAAATGCTTTGAAGAGGTGAGTCCCGAGTGCCCTGGATGCACAGAGAAGGTGATAGCTTAGTGTTTAAAGTGCAAGCTCTGTACACTCCGCGACTTCTCAATTTCCTCATCTGTAGGATGGAGATAGTGATAATGTTTACTTTAGAGTTGTTGAGAAGATTAAATGCAGTAATGCGTGTAAAGCACCACTGTGCCTGGCACCTGGTAAGTGGTAGTGGTGATTATTATAGAGGTGCGAAATCTTCCCACCAGAGGCAGTGGGTAGAATGTTGAGGTGAAAATCAAGAAATTAAGGGAGGTTATGCCTGAACTGATTGGAAAAAAAAAATGTAGTAACTTCCTCTGATAGTAACTTGGGGAAAGAAAAAGGGTTGAAGAAAAATTGCCAGCCAGTGTTGCTATTCTGATTTTTAATTTGCTACTCTTATTTTAAATTTGGGGGGAAGTGAATTAAGAATCTAAAATACATTCAATTTGGGGCAGCCAGTGGCATAGTGGTTAAGTTCGCGCCCTGCTTGAGCGGCCCTGCGTTCACGGATTTGGATAAGGGGGGTAACCTACACACTGCTCATCAAGCCGTGCCGTGGCGGTGTCCCACATACAAAACAGAGGAAGATTGGCCCAGATGTTAGCTCATCGACAGTCTTTCTCAAGCAAAAAGAGGGAAATTGGCCGAAAATGTTAGCTCAGGGCAAATCTGCCTCACCAAAAAATAAATAAATAAATAAAATACATTCAATTCAATAAGTAATCATTGAACTAAAAAAAACCCAAAAGAACAGGAAACTTAATTTAGTGACATCACCTGTATTCATCTTACAGACTAATATTTTAAGTAGTATCTTTAAAAAGTAGTATTCCGTAAAGAAGGGCCAGCCCAGCGGCCTAGTGGTTATGTTTGTGTGCTCTGCTTTGGCGGCCCAGGGTTTCACTGGTTCGGATCCTGGGTGTGGACACAGCACTGCTCATCAAGCCATGCTGAGGTGGCATCCCACATGCCACAACCAGAGGCACTCACACCTAGAATATACAACTATGTACTGGGGAGCTTTGGGAAGAAGAATAAAAAAAAGAGAGAAAATTGGCAATAGTTGTTAGCTCAGGTGCCAATCTGTAAAAAAAAACAAAAAGAACAAGCTTTTAATTCTTCCTCCAAATCTTGGGTACTAGGTTCCTGAAAATTCATGACCATCCCCTTTTGTATTTTCTCTACTGTGCTACTTAGGGGTCAAAAATAAAAACGGAAAAAAGCCACAAATCATGTTTTCCTTCCAACAGAAGCCATTGTCATGGACATGGACCCCTTTCTTCACTGCGTGATCCCAAACTTCATCCAAAGCCAAAACTTCTTGGAAGGGCTTCAGAAGGAACTTTTGAACTTGGACTTCCATGAAAAGTACAATGATTTATATAAGTTCCAGCAGGTATGTATGCCCCTTTCACATTAGCTCTTCCACTTCAGAAATTCATATGCTATAAAATCATTCAGTACCTTCAGACTTGAGGTTTTAGATTGGGTTTGCCGTGGAAGATCCTTGCCTCAACATTGTTAAAAACATTCATTCATTTAACGTAAGCTTACTGAGTGTTAACTCTTTGTTAGGTACTATAATTATTATTTGAGAATCTTTGCTAGTTCCTGCCCTATAAGACTTTAAAATCTAAAATAATAGAGTTAATAGTGAAAGTGATAGAGAGTCAAGGAATACAGTAAGCCAATAAGTAAGTACGTTATACATATAGGGGTTAAGTACACTTTGGAGAGAGTTGTACATTGGGAGATGATAACCATTTAAATTTTTGAGTTCGTATCTTTGTTTAGGTAGCTTCATGTATTGCAGTATGCTCTGCGTTGCAATATGTCTTACAGAGAGATCATTCCTTTTTTGATGGACAGTTTAATTTGGCAGAAACGACTATCTCAAAATCGAGGCTAGTTTTCCTATTCTTAGAAACAGGCCCAGTCTAGGTATAGAAATATGGGTCGTTGGTTTCCCCAGTATGAGGGATATCTTTCAGTACATGACATACATCACTCTTGGAAATCCTTTATAAAACCTCAAGGACAGCAGCCCTTAAAATCACAAAAAATAAAAATGAAAAAGGTGAAGGATTATTTTCTTTTCTTTGCACCTTCGCTTTGATTTCTCTTTATCCAGAATAAGAGAGTGATAACCGATTTCTCCGTTATCTCCAGAGCTGATTGTTTGGTCACCCATTTCTGTCCCCCAGTCTGTCTATCTTGGGGCCTTGTACATATGATTGAATTAATCCAGGTTAAATACACGAATGATGGGATTCTTAATAATTCAGAAGAACTAACGAAAATTAGCTTTATCCAGAGTAAAGTTCCATAGGTTAATTAAAAACCGTAGTTGTTTGCCTTTGTAACTGTATCAACTTTGGTAACACTTGGCCTCTTTTGTTGATTTAGGGCTATATGCATCTCTGGTTACTAAAACTGAGAAATCAAAATGGTTTTTACTTAATGCAATTTGGTTGATGAAAATACTTCTAACTGTGAAGTCAGTGCGAGGCAAAATAATAAAAAGTGCCCTGGGTGATGAGGGGGAAAAAAAGGAAGCCATTACGTTAGATCCCCGTGCGTGCTTGGTGAAACTCTGCTCTGCTGTGAATAATTTTTACCCTGCTCGCTTTGGGACTGAACTTCATCCGCAGACAGTAAATATAGAACTGTTTCCAGTCTCCTGTGCCTTCAGACTTCACTTATATCTCTTTTTCTTTGCTTGTGCTGCGAGTTGACTTCCTAATTGAGTCTGTACCATCTTCCAGTCCCCCTAGCCAAGGCTGTCATTGGGAGTAGCCCGATAGTTTGTATTTATTTAAAGCAAGCATTATTGAGTGCATGCTTATTGCCAAGTGCTTTACATTTATTCATTCATTCAATCCTCATAACAGTCCTATGAAGGACATACATTACTATTCCTGTTTTATAGATGAAGAAATTACATCAGTAATTTTTCCTTCTCTTCGGGACCATTCCCTTCAACATACAAAAAAAGAAGAAAAGCTGTCACTACTAGTTCTTCTTATCTTCAGGAAAAAAAAAATGCTCTTGGTCTGACTTTCCCCTTCCTCTACTACCCCATTCCTCTGCTCCCCTTGACTGTAGCATTCCTTATGAGTTGTCTGTACTGTCTCAAATTTCCTCTTCTGGAATTCTCTGTTGGCCACCTGTGCTTCAGCTTTCACCTGTTATGCTCCACTGAAACTCCCCTTGTCTAGGTCACTCACGACTTCCACCTTAGTAAATCTAATGGTCAGTTTTCAGGTCTGGTTTTACTTGACCTCCAGCAGCATTTGACCTACTATGTTATGCCTCCTTCCTAGAGACATTTTTTCACTTTACTTTCAGGATACCATGTGCTCGCTCACTCTCTCTTTTTTTTTTCCTTTTCGTTCTGGGGTTCCAGAATAGACATGAATTTGGGGGGACACTTCCAAACCCAGTACACCCTCCTTGCCATAGCCGTCTACCATCCTTCGAGTCACTGTCCTCACCTGGCATACAGTCCACGTCCGCATCCCCAACCTGCCATCAGCCTAAGCAACTTTGTCATACATAAGCATGACCCACCCAAACCCTGGCCTCTCTGTCCCCTGACTTCCAGGGCCCTGAGGACTCTCTCCACACCACTTCAACCACCCAATCCTAGGGCCACCCATGGACTTCGTCATCATCTGCAGCTGCTGTCCCTCTGGAACCATGCGTTCATAAAACTTCCTGTGTGACCAGTCTCTTCTCCTCCAGATTGCATGTC